AGTCAGTGCAACTAACGGGTGCCTGTCAGTTCAGTCATTGCATGACTGGCCATCTTTGAGAAGGGTTGTTCACAGCGAGTATGCTTGATCTGAGCCAAACGGCTGAGAAGCAGTGAAGAGTCAAAAAGGCCCCAGCAGAATAACTTAATTGTCAAAACTGGATTTTTTTTTCATTTTATATAGCTCAGCAGCAAATCTCTCCACTTTAGGTATCTGTAAAAGAAATTTTGGATTATCTGCTAACTCTGGAAAGCTAGTAACACGAGTATGCATTTGGGAGCCATTTCAGCTCTCCACTCCCTGGTATGAAGGCAGTCAGGATCCAAGGAAACTATCATAGAGAGATTTTTGAAGGACTGGGCCAGAGTTTCCTCCCCTCATTAAGGGTAGGTTTTCTTAAAAGTTATAACTACCAAAATTATTATTCACTCTCCATTCAAACCTTTGAATAAACTTCCCTTTGTTATAGTTATTTCCCAATGTGACCATCCTAATTACTGCGAAGGTAATAGGTAAGTGTCAGGCCCTTTTGACAGATTCATCATATAGCCAAACTTCCCCTTGGGATAAGCAAGTTTCTAAGACCGCACACCCAGCTTATATCCAGAGTTATTTCAAACTTCTGCCTTTCAAGCTGACCACTCTCTGTGCTAGAGGCTGGGCCTCTTGCTGCTTTCCTTAAACATTCCAGTTAAAGACACTTGAAAGGGAGTAAAGTGGTCTTCAATCTGTGTTTGCTCATCATTATTAGATCACATTGACCTCTAGATGTGATGCAGGCTTTGATAACTTTATGCTTAAATTGATTTTTTTTTTTTTTTTTTCCAAATAAACTGCAAAACATCTCAACCATCAGAAGTGCTTGCTAATCTCCTGGGAGTGGGATGTATATGTGGACAAGCACTTGAAGAGAAAGCAATGACTTATTTCTTCTGTAGCTGTTGTCTTATGGTGTATGTGTGTCTTGATGTGTGCACATAAACACACTTACTCTTTATATCAAATACTTATATATTACACAACTGATTTTCTTCCTCTCTCCTTTGAAACCCAAATCTGTTTGGATTTCAGTGAAAAGGAGCTGAGAAATTGTTGTGTGATTCAGTTTCCTTTATGCCCTTGAATAGAGAGAGGTATAAGGACAAACAGTGTGAGGTAGGGATTTCTACCAAAACTTTCTGATTTGGCCAAGTCAGTTGTGCACACATCAGTGTATGGAACACATTATGTGTGCATAAATACAATGTTTACTCAATTCCAAGATGAGGTTTTTCCCATTTTAACATGGGAAGAGAAAGCCCTTTGTCTTGGAACTGAGTGGGAGGCAGTGAGGGGTAGGAAGATGGGAGTGGGAGGTTGGGGACAGGGGTGCTTGCCTCCCCCACTGTCTACTTCCCTACTGCCTGTTGCCTACTTTAACCCCAAGTGCCTGCTTTCTTACTGCCTCCTCCACTGCCTGTTCACCCACCACCTGTCCTACCATGTGCTTCACTCTTGACCCCCTGCAGTCTGCCCCCTTACTGTCTCCCTCCCTGCCTGCCCTGCTCCCTGCCACTGCTTTCCCTTTTGTAGCGGTGGTGGGGATGAATTGAAGATGATTCTCCAATAATTAGATCCTATACATGGAAAATTATAACAAATTTATAATTTTTTCCATGTATGAAATTTAATTATAGGGGGGAGGAGGGTCATCTTAAATTCAGGGTTGTCTTGGATTTGGGTAAATGTGGAATTTTACTTTGTGCGCGCATACACAGTGAACTCAGTTTGTATAGTTTTGATCAGCTGTACTAACTGTGAAAGGGTATGCATTTATAGTGCCCTTGTGCCTTCAATTGAGGGCATAATGGGCAGGGTGCCCTGACCCCTTTCAGTTCTTTTCACCATCACTGCAGTCATAGTTCTCCGTGACAGCCTCACAGCTCATTGCTATCGGGGCTTATCAGCACTCTTGTGTAAATACTTAAGCTTAGTTTACATAGTAGTCAGCAGTTAGTAAGAAGACAGATAGCATTGAGGGTCCCCCCACCCCCCCATATTTTCCCTCTTCTTTCTCTTTGAGAGGTATTTTTCTTTTCTGGCATGGTATTCCAGTACTATTAATTTTGTTTCAGATGCCTACTAGAAGAGGCCTAGGAATTCAGCAGTGTTTGTCCTGTCAGGTGGTTGTCTCTCTCAGTATAGTGGTCATACTAGGTGCCCAATTCCTTGGGAAAAGGGCATGGTTTGTAGGAGAGGTGTTTTGTGTATGTAGGTCCTTGTGAAGACAAGCAAAAGAGAATTAAGGGATCCAGGTGAACTTGGAAAAATCCATCTATATACCTGGCCTCTGCTCTGTGTTGTTCTGATACTGCTTGGCACCAGATTATGTACCTCAAGGAGTGCTGTGGTAGCTGCCACAGGACTGAAAACAGCATCTGATGAGAATAAATCCCTAAAAGTTGACTAAAGGGAAGAGGCAGGGTCATCCATTATCAAGTATATCTTTTAAATCCCTGAAGACTGATACTGCCTTTAGGAAAAAGCCCCTATGACCAATATTGTCTTTTTGAGCACACTTTTTTGCAAGCATGACTTCTCATTAGACACAGAGAAATTACTTCCTGTAACTAAATTGCGATCCTGAGACCATTCAGCATGTTTGTCTTCCTTTACAGTGTTTCAAGTGTACAGTTCTTTTGTTAAGCTTTGGTGACTTTGACGCCAACAATCTCAGTGCAGTTGTTACTGTTACTTCCTCCAGCATGAATGGTCTTTGCCTCTAATTCATGCTATGCAAACCATATTAAATATGTATATGCTGCAAGAGATCTCTTATTTTCCTTTTTCCATACATCTCAAATGAAGACAAGTCTATCTGAGGTACTGGTATCTATGTCAGTACCAAGTTTTTCTGGGGTACCAGTAAATTAAACTTTAGAGTGGGTCACAAGTGACTCCAACTGGCAAAGTTCCTTACCTGGACAAAGGTTATTCCTTTTTATTGTGAGGGTCAGGAAGCAGCAGAAGGCTCTTCTGCACCATCAAAATACTGTCACTGGCTTTAATAATTAGCTATGATTCCAAAGTGTGGTTAGATTGTAGCAGGTCTGAAACCTTCTTTAGGAGTACTAAGTCTTGGGAACTCCTGTATTACCCTTATGTTTCTTATGGGTATTCACTCTGGCTGTACTTGACCTATGGTATTTGGTTCAGTGTATTTGGTATCATTCTTTGAGAGCCTCTTCAGCTGCGTGATGGAGGTTTTGACCTTCAAAAAAGTTTGCCTTCTCTGGAAGACTCTCTCACTGAGAGAGGCCAATATATATTATTGTTCCTCTATGTATCTTTTGTATTGCTTCTCAATTTTTTTTATCATCCATATCTAAGGAGACCAGTCTCTGCATTCTTGTGGAGGTTGTTCTTGAGAGCCTTCTCAGGTTACTTGACACCTTGCACACTGTGGTCCCAGGTAGCGTCAAGGACAGGGTTCCCAAATACTTTGTCAGAAAAAGTTATCTACCTCAAATATACATATTAGTATAGCAAATTATCAAACAGTTCTTTCTAAATACAGTTCTATTAATTGGGACTCCTACAAAATGTATGAGAGAAAGTCTAGTTCTATAAAAGAATTAACATTTAGGTGTATAACCCCCACAGTAGAATACACTGAGCTCAGAAATAAGCACATAAGGTCACAGTACAGTGCATGGGAAGTTAGACATTTCAGGATAGCATTTATGACAGCACACATTAAGCCAGTAAGAAATGCTGAGCTAAATATGTTCCTACACTTTGGGTTAAGAAACTGTCAGATTGGAACCATTTCTTTGATTTAGGTGCCTAAGTTCTTTTTTTCAAAAGCAGAAAAAGGATCCTTGTTTTTTTTGTGACTGTTGTGGTGCCACCAGCTCTATTGAGTAGTTCAGTGATAGGAGCACTTTCCAGGGTGTGGGAGACCTGGCATCAATGTGTTCAAACAGAGCAGGTGAATAACACATCTCATCTCCTAGGAAACTGCCTTAATCATTAGACAGTCGTAACCTGTCACCTGCTTCTGCTGTTGAAGATTAAGTTCAAGATTCATTGGGCCAGGATGTGCATTTAAGAGACCCTATCTAGTTTATTGGTTTAGGCTCTTCCCCGGGAAGGAGACACCTCCTAAGTCTGGTCCCTATTTCAAGTGCTGTTTAATGTATTCTATCCAATGACTAGTATAAAATAAAGGAGTACTTGTAGATACAATGCTGCTTATTTGCAGACACTAAATAGTACTTGTAGGAAATAGCATCAGTTGCGGAAACACATCAAGAAAATACAAATATTTTGACTATTTAGCAAAATTTAAGAAATTGAAATAAAATGATATAGTTTGATGGAAACGTTTAGCATAGGAAGGGAAAGGCGAAGTTCTTTACTGAGAAAACAGCCTCAACTGAACTGAATTTTTTGGCATAATGGCTTGCGTATAAAAAGGTGATATGTTAAATTTATCTTGAAAGAAAATTATTTTACGCAACCACTCAAAATGTAGAAACATCTCAGAAGAAAAGGCTTAGTAGTTTTGTCTTAGTTATCAGTCACTTGAACGCAGTTTTTTAATATTTAGGGTTAAATAAAAAAGCAGTTTCTAAGAATCTCCTACATACAACAGAGCTGGAAACAGTATTGTAAGACACCTGCAATAAACTATCTCATTTGCAAGAAATGTAGACTAAGGTTTTAAAAGTTTTAGGGTATAACAAACAACCCAATAGTGAGCACAAAATTGAGTAAAATAACTGAGAACAAATCTCAGATGTTATTAATAGTTCTTGGTAAACATGGTTGCAGGTGTCAAATATCAAGTACCCAATTTCATCACTGATCCTGTTAATACAATTAATATTGCTATCTTTCATACATGCACAGTGAAAGAACAAAGTACACAAATCACTTTCAGGCAACTTTTTTAAACTTTGGAAAGATGTAAACCCAGTAAAAAGATGCATTTTAAATTAATATTTTATATTTTGCAGCTTAAAGTGATGAAATTCCAGGATGAGTTAGAATCTGGAAAAAGACCCAAGAAACCAGGCCAGAGTTTTCAGGAACAGGTTGAACACTACAGAGACAAACTTCTTCAGAGGGTAAGAAATGATCCTTTGAATATTCCACTCTGATTCCATTAATTGTCTGTTACTGTATTTTTCAGATATAGTATTGTATTAGAGGTCTTATATTAGCAAATGCCTTTAGTTGAAATTCTATACTGATTCCAAATTAAGGCTTGCTTAGACAAGGAGTTTCCCTGGAATAAATATGCTTTTTTACTTGTATCAAAATATATCGGGTATTTTAGAGTTCATTGCGAAAAGCAGTGAGTGAAAAAATGCAGCTGCCTGAAATAGCTTGGCAAGAACCAACTGGAAAACTTGAGGGAGACTCTCATTTATGGACTTTATTGACAATGAAACAAGGTAGTCTGGTCAATCCAATGAAAAATAAATTCAGTACCTGGAAGTATGTTGTAGACTAGTGATGCTCAAGCAGGGTGCCAGATCTTTTGAAGGGTTTCATGAGGTGTGAGGAGATAAGCAGGTGTGAAGAGAGAATTGCAGGCTCAGTCTTGTCCCAGCCTGGCTGCTGCCCTGTCCCTATTGCCCAGACCCTCAATAAATACACTTGTTTATGAAACAGAGTGCTGCTCAATTCATAAAAGTTATGGAAAGGTGTCTTGAGTCTAAAAAGGTTGAGAACCATTGTTGTAGACTGTTTATTGCTCTATTGCTAAATTGATGCACACTAGATGTATTACATGTTTGCAGATAGTAAGGGGAAGAATCTTATTTGGAGCATAGACTAAGTACTTAGATCAGAGGCGTTTTGAAAAATTATGGCATATTGCATTTTTTTTAAATACATGAGAAGTGTTCTCAAATCTGTATCCTATGAGTAAACTGTGCCCAAGAATCTGTAGTCTAACTCAGCTAGCCCTGTAGACACTGGTAGTGGTTATTGAATCACTGGATCTGGTATGTCGCTGTAGAGCTGGATGTATTCACACAATGTTTTGGAAGTTAAACAAGTACAGTGATTTGTGCTCAGTGTTTCCCTGCCTACTGTTCTTTTGGGCTTTCAGCACATAACTGTAGTGTTAAATTCTTGAAAAATAGACTTTGCAGGTTACTTTTAGGAAAGAGAATTGTCAAATTGTATGTAGTTTTGGTTCCTCTCACCTCAAAAAGGATATAGAAGAACTAGAAAAGTTACAGTGAAGGGCAACAAGGATGATCAGAGGCTTGGAGGAGCTTCCGTGTGATGTGATAAAATAGTCTAGGACTTTCCAGCTTAGAAAAGAAATGATGAGGATAAGGCAAAATAGAACTTTACATAATAATGGTACAGAGAAAGTAAATAGAAATTTATTATTTACTACCTCTCCCAATACTAGAGCTAGAGGGGATGTAATATGAAATTATTAGGTAGCTGGTTTGAAATTAACAAAAGGAAGTTTTTTTGTTTTTTTTTTTAACTGTTTAAGTAACTTGTGGAACTCAGTCACAAGATGTTGTGGAGGATGATAGTTTTAACCTGTGTTAAAGGAGATTCAGCAAATTCGTAGAGGAAAGGTCCATTCATGGGTGTTGAATATGATAGGTAGGGGTTACAGCCTCTAAATTGGATCGTCTTAAACTTCTGAATTCTGGAAGCTGCACTGGAGAAGGAGCGAGGGAGTGGAAAATTCTGGACATGCCCTGCTTACCTTTCCAGTTACCATCACCTCTTTCACTGTGGGGGGACAGGATACTGGACTGGGTGGCTATATTTTCTGACCCAGTGAATGGCAGGTATTATGTGAGTCCAGACTTGCTTAGTGGAGGAAGTTTACATGTTAGTGTTACAGTGCTCTGCTCGAGTTAAATAGCTTCCATTTTAAGTGTAGTTGACATTTTAAGGCACCTCACTTCCTCTGTTTTGGCTATAATTGGAAAATGAAATTATGTTCTCTTGAGCAATAGGCATAATGTATATACTGTGAGCAAATTGTTTAAAAAAATAAAGATTACAATTCAGGTAATTTTGTCAAATGTGTATGTTCTATACTGGCATGGTCCTGACTGGCGGTTACCTGGCTTTATTCTGTTTTGATTATTCCATTAGCAAAGTCAAATATTAATAAATACTCTGTTGTAATTGCAATGGGTATTTTCATACTGTTGCCCACAGCACTGTTTTCCTTTATTTGGTGAATAAATGTCTTCTGTGTGTTGACTAAAACAAAGCTTACAGTTGGGTAAGAAAAGTAGTACATGAAATCTTCAGATGGTCACTCTTTCCTTCCTATTTAAGTTACCATGAATGAGCATCTCAAGGATAAGTCGCCTCATAGTACGACATTCAGTTTTTAAAAAAAAGGAATGTTTAGCTATTTAATAACTGGACTGTTGCTAGCTTATCTAAGTCCATCCAGATAAAATTAGTTTGCTGTACTGACTACTGTGCCCAAGTACATATTAGCAGTCCATTGATTTCAGTGGAATGTTAGTGTATAACTCGACACAACAGGTGTAAAGGACTAACAGGGGAAAGAATAACCAATAGTCTTTAGGTTCAACTATTCCATATTTAAAAGATGTGAGAAATAGGATTCAGATGGGCTGGGATTTTCTGCCATGGAAGATGTTATCTTTGAAATGTTGAAATATTTATCTTGCCATCCATCTTCTCTAGTTCAGTGATTGCAGAACAAAATAAAAGGAGAAAGTTATTTTTATCAGTGTTTATTAATGGCATCCCATGTTGGCTGTTTTGGTGGTACTGCAGAAATTAGAGTGGTTCATCTCCTTCCATGTTATGGTGTGTAGTTGGCTGCTTGCTACAAAGAAAAATGTTGATGTAATTTCGGGAGGATATTGATCCTAGCATCTCATTTTAGCATCTGTGTCCAAGTTTTCTAGCAATATAGGCTTGTTTTTAGTCATTTTCTCAGAGGATGTTAGATGAGCAGACAAAAAAGAACTCAAAAAGCTCACTGTCCTTAATTTTGTTTTCTTTTAAATTTTCCTTCATTTACACATATGGTAAAACACATGTTTGTTAATACCTGGGAGAAGCATGTGCCAGTACAGTTCTTGGAATTTTTTTCTGTAACATTATAGATATAAGGTGGTCCCAATCTCAAGACATGCAGGGACTAGTAGAATGTGTATATTTAAGCAGGGAGAGGTTCATATTACTCATGAAAATGGAAATTTAGAAAATTTTAGTTTTTAAGAAGTTATTTCTTACTTTCAAATTTATTGCTGCAGTAGCAGTTCTCTTAAATCTGTAAAATTATGTACATCCCTCTTGTGGGTGCCCTGGTACTAATGTTGGGGGAAAAAAATAAAAACGCGCTATACCAGAAGAAGTAGCATGTTACTTTGACCTGGTTCTGCAGTGTCTGTATAGATTGGGCACTTCACTAGGGCTTTTTGGTGCTTTTAGCTGAAGCTGATTCAATCAGATATTAGATAAAAGTGCCAAAAAGTCCCACTAAAGAGCCTGATGTATACAGATGTCAGGCGGGCCAGGTCCAACTAAGGTGCTGCCTCTTTTGGGCATGCGCTGGGCTCCTCATGGGAACGCACTGAGTTTAAAGTGCCACATTTTTTTTTTAATGTCTGCAAGCAGCCATTATGTTCAGCTTTTCTCCTGTTTGGGAAACAGATTTCTCTTACTCCATATATTTCATAGCATTGCTCCTTTTTCCTCCTCTATTCAAAACTTGTATCATTGGTCAGGTATCCTGGATACCCTTACGCTTTCACCATAGAACCTAATCTAAAATGCTCAATGCTTTTTAATAACACAGGAAAAAGAAAAGGAATTAGAAAGAGAACGGGAAAGAGACAAGAAAGACAAAGAAAAATCTGAATCCAGATCCAAAGACAAGAAGGAGAAAGAAGAATGTACACCAACAAGAAAAGAGAGGTGCAGTTTTTATTTTGTTCCAGTGCAAATGAAAACTTGCTTAGTAGTTTTGTAGACTATTGTAGACTTATAAGGGTTCTTCTCCCCTCCCCCCGATCCTCAAAGGAAAACATGACCTCTTTGAAAGTGATGTATACTTACCTATGATATTAGGAGTAAATGAACTGAAATGTATTGGTTGGAAAACTGGACTTAGGTCATTATTTTAAAGTAAATTGTACTGGTCTTAATGTTCTTGCCTCGCAATGAAAATCTCCCTCTAAATCAATTGAAATTATGCAGTGTTTTGTACACTCTGTATGCTGGCCCTTTTCAAACGCACACATCTAACTTGTCTTAATACAGCTTAATGAAGTATAGTTACACTGCTTGGCTAGGAGCAGATATTAAAAAAGCCTGAGCCTGAATTGATTCAAACTTTGTAGGTTAGTTTAACCTGGCTAGACTGAATCAGTTTGTAACTGTACAGACATCCCAGAAATGCAGTCATATGCCTGGAGTGGCTCAGACTAGAAGCTGGGGGAAGGAGGGTGCTAGAGCATCCCTCCCTTCCCTTTTACAGTGCTGAAGTGAAGGGGGGCTTGGCCACGCCCTGGCAAGATGCTCTGATTAGGGAGGGATCCCCCCTGCTTCTGACCAGGCCAGCAGGGAGTTGATAATAGTGTTTATCACCCCTAACTTGGTGTTTATCCCCCTCATTGAAAAAACAGAGGGGCATTACCAGCTACCTGTTGATTCCTGCATTTGTCCCAGACTGTAGCCAGCATATAGTCTGCTAGCTGATGCTGAGAGGTACCTGTGTAAGGCAGAGAAGACAGGGGAAATCCATGCTTAGCAGGGGGAAGCCAGGCAGATGCCTGCAGTCTCTACCGAGCTCCAGCCAGGGAGCAGAGGGGAGGGGCCAGCTCTGCTGTGGAGCAGAGAGACCTGACCTGCCTAGCGCAGAGAGCATGCTGGGATGCCCGGGGAGTCTGGTTTAATTTAAACCAGCAAGGTGTCTGGGACAGACATTGGTTGACCGAAATCAGTTAAGTCTGATACTGCATTCAGCCAGGTTTATCTCAAACTGGTTTTAGCCATTTTCAAACTGGTTTATGTGCACTGAACTTATGTTCTGTTACACGTTTAAAGCAGTTTCTGATCACTTAAACTGGCTCGTTTGTAATGTATGTACCTAGCTGTTGTAACTGGGCTTGATCTTTCAAGAATTTGTAGCGATCAGCCATAAACTAGGATCATTCATAGGTCTTCGTGTGTTGAACCAAAGGAAGTCTAATCACTTACCTACTTTTTTTCACAGCTTGAAAGTCATTCATTAACGCACTTTAAAGGAATGAATGAAATTGTATATTACATTGATAAAGGGCGGGGGGGCTTTTTAAAAAAATTGAATACTTTCTGTCCAGACAAATTATGTAATCTCTCTTGATTCCTTGGCAAAGGAAAAGACGACACAGTGCATCACCCAGTCCATCTCGCAGCAGTGGCAGCAGACGAGCAAAATCTCCATCACCAAAATCAGAGCGCTCAGAGCGATCTGAAAGGTCCCACAAAGAGAGCTCACGTTCCAGGTCATCGCACAAAGACTCTCCCAGAGACGTCAGTAAAAAAGCCAAAAGGTAAGATGGCAGCTCTTTTGTAAATCTGCTATGGTTATTTTTTTTTTTTTAGTGCGTGGTAAAGCATGTTGGGTGAAAGGGTGGCAACAGTACCAGCAGGCTGTCTGACTGTAGGTTTCCTTCACTTGCCTAGTGTTTGGCTACACAAGAATTACCTATAATACTAGGCTATGTGGCTGGTTTCAGCTAACATTGTATTGTATTCAGAATGGATGGCTGTATTCTGCTTTATTTTACCTTTATTTCTTTGATCTTGTATCGCCTACCTGTAAGCAAGATTTTTCTCATTCTTTCTGATCTCATATGTGTGTTTTACTAGTACTTGTGATTAAAAATGCCACTGAAGTCATTTTAGGTTAAGATTTCCATGGATGTGACCTTAGATGCAGAAAATGTTTGCTGGCTTGTGGTAGTTTAATACGTAGTGAAAATATTGCAGGCACCCACATGCCTTGCCCACCTGATGCTCCTCCCACTGATGAAGAATTTATTTTTTCAAAATTACTTACAGTACTTAAGTATGCTCAATGTTTTTAATAACACAAGTAGATAGCTTAATGTAAGTAGATAGCTTACTGGTGTCATGCTGGACTGATGCAAATTCTAGTCTCTAGCCTATGTCATGCATTCAGTTAGTCTTTTCTGGTATGAAAAATTTTGATCTGCATTTTTGATTGGGTTTGTGTCATTTGTTTTGCTTTGTTTGCTCTTAGTATTGGTCCCGAATGTTTAGATTATTATATCATGCAGTCTGTAGCGCACAGGTTGGGGAATTTCCATTAGTGAGTTGGTAGAAAAAAACTTGCGATACATCCTATATGTGCTGTTTTTTTTTTTAAGCAGAATCAGCTTCCTGTGTTAAAAGCTAGACATTTTAAAAGCAGAATGGTATTTTGGGCTGCTTATATTTTTCTGCAGTGCTGAGACAGTGGTCATGTAGCCTGATGAAACATGAGATCAGGTTAGATGAGATCTGTCATGTGCATTGTGAGAGATGGCTCGTGCTGTATCTTCACTGTTCATTCTTTTCAAGTTTCCTAGGTCAAGGCACAAGTTGAATATGTTTGGTCAGGATAATAGAGCCTTTTCAAGCATGATACACTTTACAGCATCACTCTTTTGTTTGGTACAATATTGAATTAGGTTGGCTTTGAATGGCAAGGTTGGAGGTGCATTTGCAGACACATATGGGGAAGTTTGTAGATTTATCTGCCCAATTTAGGTATGATCCTAGTTGAGGATGATGTTCTTGTGCTATTGGAATACTAAAATTGTGATCTAGGGCACATTTAAAATTTCATAAATACATATCCAGTGCCTGTTACCAAGATACAGTAGTCAATGTCTGTTGTCCCTGTTCAAAATATTTCTGTACTACTTACAATCTTGAGAAAATAAGATGATGGGGGTTAAATAACTTCACAAAAAAGTAAAGTTGGCTGTCAGTTTGATGAAAAACGTTGTTTTCCAGGTCCCCATCTGGCTCAAGGACACCCAAAAGATCAAGAAGGTCACGATCCAGGTCCCCTAAAAAGTCAGGGAAAAAATCCAGGTCGCAGTCTCGTTCTCCACACAGATCTCACAAGAAGTCGAAGAAAAGCAAACACTGACACTTAATATTTTTTAATGATGCTGTCACTTAACAGAAATGCGGTTTTGTTTTTGTGCCTGAACAGTCTGTTTAAAAATCAAACAAAAAAGCATTCCTGATTTTTTTTTTTTTTTT